CCCCCCCCCCCCCACGCCCCCCCATCTCCTCCCCATTTTGTATTTCACCAGAGAATTCTGAACACTGTCTACAGCACAATTTTCTTTAAGGCAATGTTACCCTGTTGCCTTCAATATTGACAGGATGGCCAGGAGAAGATTAGCATCTTTTTAAAAATCAGAACTAAACAAAGAGGCAAATTTTCTTTAAAACCACACACAATTTAGGCTCAGACTATAGCAGTGTTCACTTTCTTGTATAGCTTAAACTTGAACAACCAGTCCAACTCAGTTCATTCCAACACAAATAGCAGCTTTAGGATCTTCTAAAATTATTCTTATATCAAAAGCAGGGAGTCATCAATTTGCATTTTCCCCCCCAAAATTCTTCTTATGGTCCAGTTCCCATTGTATTTAACATAATACAAAATGTATACATTTACCATCTGCTGTATTGCCACAAGTCACAGCATTGTGTGCTGTCTAAAGCCCAATACTGTTAACAGGTAGCACTTCTGAACAACTCTATCCTTTTAACTGCTTGTCACTGCTCAGTGGCAACAGCAATATTCCAACCATGAAATAGCTGAAACAGAAGAAGTCTCTTAGTTTCTAGCAACCAGTGGTCCTGGTGCGTGGCAGGTTCATGGGATAGGCTGTATCTGCTTAACATTCCATTGTAATTTTAGTCAGCCAAAGGTATCAGGTCATATAATGAGTAATAGCTCTCAGAGCATAAAGTAGTTCAGCTTGCATCCGAGCTTCTACAAGAAGCAAATTAACATGAACCTTGGGGGGGAAAAAAAAAAGATAAAGGTTATACATCTAGATACCTTTCTCCCTGCCACAAAGCTTGTAGGATGGGAAAGATTTCCAGCAGATGCTACAGGTGCAGTGCAGTTTTTAAATATTTTCAAAGGACCTTGTGGAAGGAACAGGGTAGTAGGAGAGAAGCAGGAGGTTGGTGGGTTTGATGCTATCATACATCACTCTCTAAGATAGGGTAAGAGCACGGCCAGATTAAAGATATGTTTGCAATACAAGTACTACAGCAGCACAGCTGCAGCTCTGTAACACCACCAAGACACTACAGCAAACCCACCTCAGAGGCAATAGCAAGTTTGAATAGTTCTATCAACATAGCTGTGTCTACAGTTAGGATAAGGTTGACGTAACTTCATCACCCATTACATGAATTATTCATAGCACTGAGACAGACCCAAGTGTTGGGATAGAGTAGGCCTAGGACCCCAGACCCCAGAGTTACCTTACTACAGCAAAATATAAGCTTTCATTTAAAAAAAAAATGTTTTGGCTCCATAGTTATAAAGAAAAGCTTTAAGCCTTCAAGTATGTGCAACTGATGTCTACATGAACCTGCAGGCAGCCTGAAGTAGTTAACATGTATAAATGAAACCATAAACATCAATAGGTGCTAACCCCAAGATCTCCTGCATAGGGGATACACCTCCCAGCACCATCATAAGAGTAAGGATGTTAAGTGGTGGGTAATTCGCTTATCACATAGTTGATAACATTTTTATCTACTACAGGATTAGTCGATAAGGGAAGGCTCATGCCAGCTCGAACAGCCCTTAACTGCAGGGGGCCCCAGCTTCCCAAGAACAGGGGCTGCTGCCGGAGCATCCTGGGCCTGTCCTGGGCAGAGACTGCTTCCCGGCAGCCTCCCATCCCCCCGCTGCTGCCTCTGGGAGAGGCAGCACCATGGAGATGGTGCTAGGGGGAGCAGGCTTCTAAGCCAGCTCCACCTTGCTGCCTCTGATGCAAAGGCAGCAAGTGGGGGGTGGGAAAGTGAATAGTCGACCTGATTAACAGATAAGCCTAGGCCTATTGGTTAATCAATTACTTGACTACTTGCTTACATTCCTACTTGAGACAGCTGTGTGGCTGGAAAAGGCTATAGGGAATCTGATTCACATAGCAGCTGGGGTTTATCTGCATTAGGGACAAGTACTTTTGCGAGGGAGTGGGGGGGCTGCTGCTCCTAGGTCAGAAAAACACTTTATACCACTGCCTTCTGAGGCATGGGATCATAATGCAAGGGACAGGCCAGAGTGGACCCCTTATGATGTACCATGGACTTGATTTTCTGGACTGGAGAGTCTGTTAAACTACTTATCTACAAACATAATTTAGTTAGCAATATATCTATTTCTCTCTACATAAGAAGAGAGTTTGCATAATAACCAGTAAGTAACTTTGTCTGTTTAGCTAGCTTATTTTAAAAAGACAAAAGTTATGCATAGTGGAAAGTGTATTTAGCAAATGTAGTATGATATTTATCCAACAGAAGTGAGATCAAAGTATGCCATAACTGAAACACAATGATTCTGTGATTATTATAGCATACTGTGGCTACTACCATTATTACCAAATCTACTGAGCTACTCAGAATACATGCAGACAGTACCTTCTCAGAATGTTTGAACTGTCTCCAGAAGCTATCATACATTCTTTTTGTGGTTTTTTCAGGAGTGCACACCACAGTTTTGATGTAAACTTTAAAGCTGCGGTCCAGCAACTGATTAATTTCACCATAGTCATAATCATCATATCTGTTCAGAATTGAAAGGAAAATACTTTCATTTTCCTGTCCAGCAATCCTAGAATTTCACTTATGTTTCAGACTACTGTATACAATTAGTTATTCCAGCCGTGAACAGACTTTTTCAGAAATACGCATTTCTAATCCACTTAAGTAGAGTCATGCTTCTATATTGGTACAGTGGCAATGAAATTTATCACTGAGAGCATAATAAATGTAATTCCTTCCCTCAGGAAAACAAATGTTGAGGGTAGCAGCAAAACTAACTGTTTTCTATAAGAAAGATGACTGGACCAACCTTATTCCAAACATACAATGGATATAGTTCCAAATTGCACGTCTAAGCATGGAGGTATCTACATCTTTGTGCATAGCCATTGTATTATATGTCAGATTGTAAGCAATATGGAACTTCTCATCAATCAGCTGCCCCACATCTGGGTAAAGACGATTAACCAGGGAATAGCCATGGTCCTCCCAAGAATAGTCCTTAAAATAAAGAAAGCTAAAATAACAACATGTTTCACGAAGATACATTTAAGTTCTAGCTCTTCAATTTCTTTTATCAAGTATAATCATTATAAATGTATTGCTCGAGAGAAAAATACTTATTTAAAAACAAATAAATAAATCTTGTCTTCAAGGCAATAGCTTGTACCAAAAATGTGTCACTCATTCTAAATGGTACAATGAAACATATTGATTGTATGCATTTTTGATGCTGGTTATTGATCACGTTTCTGTTACCTGAACACGGAAAGTAGGCACATGCATTCCATGTCTGGAAAAGTCTTTATACCCATAGCTTGTATCCTCAAAGTGGCGAGATACATCTCTTGTAAGTGCTGATTCCTCATCCTCTGTGAAAAATAAAGGGTAGGCATTTCACAAATTAATCTAGACATATTCCAGCAAGAAAACAAAAATGGAAGAGCACCTGTGAAGCTATTATGGAATCTCTCTCAACAGTACAATAACTCAAGGTAACACTTCCTGTTCTTCTGCCCCCTGCCATTATCTCTCTCCCTCCACACCCCCCCCCCCCCAGACACAATCCTAATACACACAGAACTCCTGCAAAACTAGGTTACCGGGGAGTTAGTAATTTGTAGTAGAACCAGTGAAAGATATGACTATTTCCTGCAATATCCTTGGGCGACCATACTCTTATGGTGTTCTTCCCCTCTGTTGAGAAACACTGTTCCGTTTGTCAGAAGCTGGAAATGGGTGCCAGAGGAAGGATCACTTGATGGTTACCTTTCTGTTCATTCCTTCTAGAGTACCTCACATTGGCTACTGTCAAAAGACAGGATATTGAGCTAGATGGGCCTTTGGTCTGACCCATATGGCCGTTCTTATGTACTAAATTAGTCTTAACTATCTTTGAGATCTACAGAATTAAATGAAATGGTTTATGTATTATTGTGGGCCAGAACTGTATGTAACCTCTCTAGGGGTTTTGGTTTTCCTGGGGAATATTTAAGAAAAGGTAAAAGCAAATTTCCCAACTCCTATTATTAAAAAAAATCCTACACAATGACCTGAGAAGAAGGTCTTTGCAGATATCCTGTTACTAGAGGCCAACATCAAGGTTCCAAGCTGTACAAACAGCTGCTCTGCCCAGTCTGTTCTAAATCTGAATCAGTTATGAAATTGGAATCACGGGGAAACTGAATTGTGGGTTTGAAGGACTGACATCTATCAGAGCTTGAGGTTGAGTTGTGGTGATCTCAGATACGGTTTTTAGTATGTATGTAGGTTATTTTAATGTTTTTTTCTGTAATGCTTTCACTTTTAGAATAAATGTGCTTGCTTAGAAAACCTTGTATGGAAACTTGTAATGCAGCTGTTCCTAGCCTTCAATGAGATAGTAAAGCGCAGACACTGGCCTGTTTGGGCAGTTTGGCTTGCTGAGGGTATCACAGTGCAGGTAGGGAATGGTGCAGCCTTGAAATTCCCTGTCCCGGAGGGCGAGAGATGTGGGTCTTTACTCAAGAGAGGTGAAGTTTGAAGAGCCAGGTGCCTAAAGTGAGTGCACTTGAGCAATCCCAGAGGAAGAACAATGGTATAGTTGCCAGAATGAGGATAGCACCCAGTGTACAAAGTCCTTTCCAGATGTTCAAGAAACTGGCTCCATATTTTACTCATCCTTTTATCCTCTGCTTATCAAGGTTCTTCACTAGGTAAGCAGCCAGGAACTGTAGCAAGAGTGGCAAAAGCCTGGTTTCACTTACAGACAATCTCTGCACTCTAAGACATGCACAACCTCTTTGGCTAATTTTAAAGGTTCTGGATATGTACAACCTACTACAGCTTCAAGAATATGGCTCTCTAGGAGCAATTCCTTGAAGGAAAAGTCCAGCTTGTTTTATATATACATGCAAAAACCACAGGTATCAAACATCTTGCTCCTACTTTCAGAATTTCAAGGACAGGACGTGGATTTTTTGGGTGATAAGAACTTAGACTCATAGACTCCAAGGTCAGAAGGGACCATTATTATCATCTAGTCTGACCCCCTGCACAGTGCAGGCCACAAAATCTCATCCACCCCTCCTAGAATAATCCTCTCACCTATATCTCAGATATTGAAGCCTTCAAATACTTTGAAGACCCCAAGATGCAGAGATCCTCTAGCTGTGATCTGTACCCCATGCTACAGAGGAAGGCGAAAAACCTCCAGGGCCTCTGCCAATCTACCCTGGAGGAAAATTCCTTCCCGACCCCAAATATGGCGATCAGCTAAACCCTGAGCATGTGGGCAAGACTCATCAGCCAGACACCCAGAAAGTTCTCTATAGTAACTCCTATCATCCCTCCATTGACCTATTTCCCACTGATAATGAATGGTCAATTAGTTACCAAGATCATGTTATCTCATCAAACCATCCCCTTCATAAACCCATCTAGTTTAATCTTGAAACCAGATAGATCTTTGCCCCCACTACTTCCCTTGAAAGGCCCGTTCCAGAACTTCACTCCTCTAATGGTTAGAAACCTTCGTCTAATCTCAAGTCTAAACTTCCTACTAGCCAGCTTATATCCATTTGTTCTTGTGTCCACATTGGTATTAAACTTAAATAATTCCTCTCCCTCCCTGGTATTTATCCCTCTAATATATTTAAAAAGTGCAATCATGTCTCCCCTCAGCCTTCTTTTGGTTAAAGTAAACAAGCCAAGCTCCTTGAGTCTCCTTTCATAAGACAGGTTTTCCATTCCTCGGATCATCCTAGTGGCCCTTCTTTGTACCTGTTCCAGTTTGAATTCCTCCTTCTTAAACATGGGAGACCAGAACTGCACACAGTATTCCAAATAGGGTCTCACCAATGCTTTGTATAATGGCACTAACACCTCCTTATCCCTACTGGAAATACCTCGCCTAATACATCCCAAGATCGTATTAGCCTTTTTCACGGCCATGTCACAATGGCGGCTCATAGTCATTCTATAATCAATCAGGACTCCGAGGTCCTTCTCCTCCTCCGTTACTTCCAACTGATGTGTCCCCAGCTTATAACTAAAATGCTTGTTATTAATCCCTAAATGCATAACCTTACACTTCTCACTATTAAATTTCATCCTATTGCAACTAGAGCTCTAGATCTTACAAGTCACATTTTAATCTGGAGAAAATTTCTGTAGAAGAACCCAGAATTAGGCTGATCGAAGACCTCAAGTACAATTTTGTATTTACTTGAAAAACAATACTCCCTCCACGTTCAACTTGTACACATCAGTGATTAATATTTGCTACTATTGCTGAAGTAAGCAATTACATTTTTGTTTATGCAATAAAATACAACAAAAATATGACTTTCTTGGTAACTGGTAGATGTTTGAAGTATGTTGATTTCTCCAACACATTTAGCTAAGTTTAAATAACCACTATTTTCACCTGAACAACACACAAACATGCTTTCTCTCTTCTCTCTCTCAAAACGTGTAGCCATCTCCTCTTGGCTGGCTTCCTCTTCATCTCTGCACTCTTGTAGCTTCTTCATTTTCTCCATAAGTTCTTCTACTTCACAGAAAGATTCTGTAGTCTTAAAATGAAAGAGACACACATTCACACTTTATTGCTCTATGTACTAGTACATTGTAATTGTGATACAATCCGTCAAGCCCAAAAGGTTAAAAACTCAGATTCCCACCTTGATTTGCAGCTCATCTTAATGTTTTAAAAATGTTATGTCTAGAAAGACTCCTCTTATGTAGAGTTATATTGATATCACTGCTCTGGTATGATTTTATTAAAGCTTTAAATAAAATTGTAAGCCAGAATAAGTACATTATGATTTGAACAGTATCCAGAGTCAAAAAATAATATTTATGCAACAAAAAGGAACTCTAAAACAAAAATCCATCAGGCAATAGCAAATACAATCCTCATCTTCAATGTTCCCACCTTTGCCCAATCAGTCCTCTACTTCCTGTCTGCCTCATGTAGTATGCTTGTTCTTCCAGGGAAAGCCTGAGTAAATCGGTATCTTGCATTGTGCCCATGTTGTCCATGTAATTAAGGAAATCATATGCAAACACTTGGAAGGTAATAAAGTGATAGGGAATAGCCAGCATGGGTTTGTGAAGAACAAGTCATGCCAAACTAATCTGATAGCTTTCTTTGATAGGATAACGAGCCTTGTGGATAAGGGAGAAGCGGTGGATGTCATATACCTAGACTTTAGTAAGGCATTTGATACGGTCTCGCATGATATTCTTATTGATAAACTAGGCAAATATAACTTAGATAGGGCCACGATAAGGTGGGTGCATAATTGGCTGGATAACCGTAGTCAGAGAGTTGTTGTTAACGGTGCTAAATCCTGCTGGAAAGGGATAACAAGTGGAGTTCCGCAAGGGTCTGTTTTGGAACCCGTACTGTTCAATATCTTCATCAATGATGTAGATATTGGGATAGAGAGTACACCTATTAAGTTTGCAGATGATACCAAACTGGGTGGGGTTGCAACTTCTTTGGAGGATAGGGACATAATTCAAAATGACCTTAGCAAGTTAGAGAAATGGTCAGAGGTAAACAGGATGAAGTTTAATAAAGAGAAATGCAAAGTGCTCCACTTAGGAAGGAACAATCAGTTCCATACATACAAGATGGGAAGCGACTGTCTAGGAAGGAGCATGGCAGAAAGGGATCTAGGGGTCATAGTGGACCACAAGTTGAATACGAGTCAACAGTGTGATGCTGCTGCAAAAAAAGCAAATATGATTCTAGGTTGTATCAACAGGTGTGTTGTAAGCAAAACTCGTGAAGTCATTCTGCCCCTCTACTCTGCACAAGTTAGGCCTCAGCTGGAGTACTGTGTCCAGTTCTGGGCGCCACATTTCAAGAAAGATGTGGAGAAATTGGAAAGGGTACAGAGAAGAGCGACAAGAATGATTAAAGGTCTAGAGAACATGACCTATGAAGCCAGGCTTCATGAACTGGGCTTGTTTAGTTTGGAAAAAAGAAGATTAAGGGGGGACATGATAGCGGTTTTCAAATATCTAAAAGGGTGTCACAAGGAGGAAGGAGAAAATTTGTTCCTCTTGGTTTCTGAGGACAGGACAAGGAGTAATGGGCTTAAAGTGCAGCAAGGGAGGCTTAGATTGGACATTAGGAAAAAATTCCTAACTGTCAGGGTGGTCAAATATTGGAATAAATTGCCAAGGGAGGTGGTGGAATCTTCCTCTCTGGAGATATTTAAGAACAGGTTAGACAGACATCTGTCAGGGATGGTGTAGGTGGAGCTTGGTCCTGCCTTGAGGGCGGGGGGCTGGACTTGATGACCTCTCGAGATCCCTTCCAGTCCTATGATTCTATGTGCCCAGACTCTTATCAAGATGGCAGAAGGGTGGTTCCAGTGTCAAGGAACCCACACTGAAAATGCCCCACACCAGTGTTTCCTCAACCAGTAGTACAAGTACCCTTAAGGGTACTTGAGAGAAGTCGGGGGGGGGGGGGGGAATATAAAAAAAAAAAAAACTCCAAATTTCAGTTTAGTTTTACAGTGTTTTCTTATTTTTATATTTTTTACATCCAAAAATATCACCACCTGACTGGCTACAATTAGTAAGAGGTGTTTATCCTCCAGAAAAGCACAGATTAAAAAAAAAGTATCTTGACAACTGATATTATGTGGACATTCAGAAGCTGTAGAATCATAGAACACTAGAACTGGAAGGGACCTTGACAGGTCATCGAGTCCAGTCCCCTGTTCTCACAGCAGGACCATACCATCTAGAATGACCAGCTAAACCCCCAGTTTGCCAACTGGAATGACAAATGGAAGGCAGACACACTCAACTGAGGGAACAAAGATGTAACTGCCACTTCTGATTGCTTCCCCCAGCTTATCATTTCACCCTGATCTAAGTTTAGCTTAAACTACCTATTCCTCCATCCAAGTTCACACAGACACTGGGTAAATCACTCTGTTTTGCCGCTAAAGTTCAGTGAAATGGAAATGCAGAACATCTCATCCACTTATATGATTAATGAAAAAACACCTTAGTATGAACTTATTAGAACTGGAGATCGTTATGTGCTCAAACTCCTAAATAGTAATAGATCTTTACCGAAATGCCTCTGATTGGGCTGACATGAGTTTCATCTACTCCATGGTTGCCATTTGTAATATCACAGATGCAGTAGTTACTGACAGAGGGAAGCTTGAATGTGTGACCACCCTCACAATGAATTTCTGGGCTTATTCCACAGCCAAATGTGAAAGAAGCAAGTGAATGGTAGTGTGTAAGGAGAACAACAGCGTGGATCAGCTCTGCCAGGGACCAGCTATGCTCTTCAGTCTTCAGAAGTTGCTTTAAAAGAAACACAAGATTTTGTAAAAAATATAACTGTACAGGTGCATCAGAAATGTCAACAACCTAATTAATTTAGTCCCACAAACTTTTTAATGCACCTGTCAATACAATCGCTGGAAAAAAAGCTAGTCTTCTAGAATTCAAATTATCTCATTATGTCCTTCTTCAGTAGGCTGGAAGCCACACAGATTCATGCAGAGTTTACACTCAAAAAAGGACCAGAGACTGAGATAAGGGGCCAAAAACAGGTTGAGGCAACTGGCCACATCCTCATAATATTACTTTCAAAAGACCAATTTTCCTACCCGCCCTGGGTAACCCATAACATTGCCATAATCAATTCTTTTCTCAATGGCTTGTCAGTAAGAAAACTAGCAATACAAGAAGAGAGGGGCCTGTAGTAATGGGGTCACACAGGTAAGCTTTTTGTCAAAAAATAGTAATTGGATCAGCTGCAGTGGTTTCATTGTTTCCACTGAAGTCAGGAGGGCTGGGCTGGGCTTTACAAATTTCACACCATTTATAAAACCATGCTGTTAACTCAAAACTTCAAGTTCAGCATGCACAGGCAAAAAAAAAAAAAAAAAAAAGCACAGTATTTAGCCTCTCTCAGCAGTCTCGGAAAGCCCCAGGCAGTTCTTAGTCAATAACGCGCCTAAAGAAAGTGGGGTGAACAGTGCTCAAGACTCCATCTTCCCTAGTGGCTCCACGTAGGAGGAATTATCTGTAGCTCACAAGTTGCTGTAAACCCCAGCTTCCCCTTCAGACAGGAACGAGTGGGAGGTTCTTGGCCTTTGCAAAGAGGATGCTCCTTCCCCTCTTGCACAGCCAGCCTTTGCTTCCCCACCTGGCAGACATTTCTCAGAGAAAGTAACACGCTCTTTCCCCACTGAGCAAAAAGCAGTGGCAGAAGAGCTGCTCTGAACAGCAGCTGCCAAACAAGGAAGAGACAAGGGACTTTGGAAGGAGAGCTTTATATTTCAGGTTATATTTTTATACATAAAATTTGCTTAGATGTGAACATCATGGACTCAGAAGAGGAGTAGAGGCAGTTCCCGAGTTACGCGGCTACGATTTATGTCGGATCCGCAGTTACGAACGGGGTTTGCTGCCCATCTCCCTGGTCTGCTGAAGACAAGCAGACCAGGGAGATGGGAAGCAAAGCCTCTGAGGACGCTGGCAGCGGGACAGCCGCGGGGCGTCTGGGCTGTCCGCTGCCCGCATGCTCTGCGGCTTTGCTCCACGTCTCCCCAGACCAGGGAGACGAGGAGCACGCGGGCAGCGGGCAACCCACGCGCTGCCC